ATTTTAAGCTGCATGTTTCACCTCTCAGTCACCGTAACAAGGATGTATTTGAAACAATCAGAGCAGCTGTTAGAGTAGCGGAATTTCCACATGTAGCCCATTGAACCCAGACCCTGATTCCTGGCTTCTCATATGTACATACTGACTTTTAGAAGGTTTCTCTACTTCTTTATTTGAAAATATACAGTTTTCTGTTGTTGTTTTGTTTTGTTTTGTTTTTATTTTTTAAGTTATATTTCACAGTGGTCAGTTTTAATGGAATAACTGTTTATTTAAAAGCAAGTTTCAAATACCTGGTTTGAATTCCAAATCCACACCTTACCTATTTTGTGATCTTTGGCAAATTATGTGACCTCCCAATGCCTCCTCTCTAAAACAAGGTAACAGTAGTAATGTCTCCTGAGACCACATCATAATGATCCCCATGTCACCAGCACATGAGCCCCATGAGGGCAGGACTTAGTCTGTTTAGTTCTATCTCCCCAGCACCTAGAACAGTGTGTGCCTTATAGTAGGGACCCACTAAACATTTGGTAAAAGTTCAGCCAGATAATTCACATAATGCATTTACACAGTCCCTAGAGCAGGGTAACAATAACAATAACGTTTTCAGGGTCCTGGCGTGGCTCAGTCTGTTGAGCGTATGACTTAGGCTCAGGTCATCATCTTGTGGTTCGTGAGTTTGAGCCCCGCCTCCAGCTCTGCACTGACAGCTCAGAACCTGGAGCCTGCTTCTGATTCTGTGTCTCCCTCTTCCCTCCCCTGCTCGCTCTCTCTCTCTCTCTCTCTCTCAAAAATAAAATAAACATTAAAAAATTAAAGAAAAAACAGTAACATTTTCTGAGTTTTTCTCCCTCAGCATTATTAAAGCTCTTGAATGTCATCAGTTGCACTTAAAAGATGACAAATTTTATTTTAGAATTTTCTTCTGCAGAAGAAATACTATTCTACCACCCAGCCATTCTGTATTAACCGTAGATAATACTTACAATTAAATACATTTGGCCTCTCTCTGTTAAGTCTGCCAACATAGTTTCTGGGCTGATTTAAGATTATGAAGGAAAGAATGAAAATTAATTCTTATTCCCCGAAGTTGTGTCTATCTGTGTGTTTTTTTGAAATCAAACTGAGATATAAGATGATTAGGGTCCTTTTAATGTTCCCAACAAGAAAGGTTCAAAGCTTTCATTTCTGCAGTTTGCTTTAATTCTAAGAGAACATTTCTAAACTGAATTTGTTTGTTTGTACTCTCTGACTTAAAACACTCCACTCCACTTTCCTATGTAATAGCTTAAAGAAAAAAAGGACTATATTACTTTTTTCCATTTTACTTCCCATCTGGATTTTTGTAGGTTTTTGTTTTGTTTTGTTTTTTTATGAGTGCTGCAGAATTCAGAGCAAAATGGTCTCACAAATCATCTCTTCTTTCTCATCACTGCATCTTAGAGGTGAGGGAAGTGAATAAAAAGAGAAGTTAGTTAAGTGTTCCTAGCTAGTTAGTGAGGTAAGATGTGAAATAGGTTTCCTGATCTTTGAATGGTTTTGCCCTGTCTTCCTTGTTTCAAACAAACAAAACGAAATGGAAAAGAAAAAAAAAAAATAGCAACCCAATCTAACCTATAAACAGATGCCTCAGTAGTTCTATTTTTTTTCTCAATTCAAGTCTTTGCAGAAATTGTAGTACTAAATGTTGAAAAAATTCTGCATCTAACTTGTTCTGATAATATGGAAGTTATTAATTAATTTAGTCATATATTCCGTAATAACATGTTAGCAGAATTTTTTGACTCTTAAGCATAATGTAGAACTTCTGAAAATCGGTCTTCATTTTGTTCAGGATAAATTTTAGAACGTATTTATTGTTAATAGAGTATATACAGTGTGAAGCTTTTCCCATCTTATTTGTATTTGAATGATTATCTTAGTATATTTCAAAGATCCAATAGCGTTTTTAGTTGTTAGCAATTTTCCCCTAATATCAGCCTTTCTCTGTTACTGTTTTTTTTTTTTTTTTTTT